GGACGGCAGGAAACCGAGGGGAAAGTGCGCCTCGGTGAGCCTAGCCCTCGTCTCCGTCATCCTCGTCGCCCCCACAGAAAAAAAAGTAAAAGTGAAGAAAAAACTACCCACCATCGCATACACCGCATCTGCCTCCTTCCCTGCTGCGCGTGCCTCCTCCACCGCCTTTGCCGGGATGTCGATCTTGGGGAAGAGGTATAGGGCGCCGGGGGAGTCGACGCAGGAGACACTGGGTGGGGAGGGGTGAGTGAGAGGTAAGAGAAAAGGGGAGGGGAGGGGGAAGATAGAGGGAAGGGAAAGGAAAATGGAGGGAAGGAGGGTGAGGCGAGGTGGGGGAGCGGAAGATGGAGGGAAGGAGGAGGGGCAGAGGTGAGGGTGGGGTGAAAGATGGGGGGGAATGGTAAGGGGTACGAGGAGGAGGAGGGGCGAAGAGGGGGGGAGGGGAAGTCGAGGTACGACGAGGAGTACAAGGGATGGAGGAAGGAGGTGGGGTACAAAAAAAGACTTACCCCTCCAGCGCATTCAGCCTCGCCGCCATAACGCGCGTCCGCGTCCTCAGCGCCTCATGTATCCCGTCCGTCTCCTGCTTCCACAGCGCGTACGACGGCTCGCCCGCGCGCGGCGGGCGCACCATGCTGTCCACGCCGATCTGGCCCGCGAGCGGCGGGCAGAGGCCCACGCTGACGAGTTTGTAAATCAAGCTTTGACCTTTTCAAAAACGCGTCAGCCAACTCTCGTCTCCATGCTCTCCAACAAAACGGGAGAAACAAAGAAACAAAACACGCACCTCCGCCCCCACATTCGTCAACTCAAAATACCCGCCCCGCCCCACACTCCCCGCTCACGCCCTTGCTGATGCTATGAAAGACACCAGCGGGACGGGCTCCCCAAATCGCGCACGACCTTCTTGAAGCTCGTGAACGGGTGCGTGCGGGCTGGTGCAGGTTCGCTTGGTAGACCTCGTCGGCGAGGAGCACCAACGAATGCTCCTCACACACCCCCACCAACTCCGCCATCGTCTCCGCGCTCAGCAGCGCGCCCGTGGGGTTCCCCGGGTTGATGATGACGAGCGCTTTGGGGCGCACGTTGTCGGCTTTTGCTTTGGCGAGGGCGGCGGAGATGGAGGCGACGGAGGTGGACCAGCCGGAAGATTCGTCGAGGAGGTACTGGGAGGAAGTGAGTGTTGATTGCGGTGTATTAGAGGGAGGGAAGAGAAGGAATGGAATGGATGTAGGAGAGACGTATATGTAGGGAGACAAGAGAAGAAGAGTATTCACCGGGATAGGCTGCCCGTGGTGCTGGGCGAGCGCGGCGGTGTAGAGGGGGTACTGCGGAATGGGGATGAGGATGCCCGCATCCGGCGCGTCGATGAGCATGTTGATGAGCAGGGAGACGCCCGCGGAGGCGCCCGCGGTGAGGAAGATGTCGTCGGGCGAGGCGGGGTGGGCGTCGCGTTCTGTTGGCGAGCGTTAGCGAGCGATTCGAAGCAGGAAGTCTGGGGGAGAGCGGGGGCACATGGAAAGAGGGGGGCGAAAAGCTAGAGGGGAAGAGGGAAGGGAGAAGGGAGAGCAGAAGAGAGGCGGCACGACGCTACAATGTATTGTACGCCCTCCAGATGAAATACGAAGGGAAGGCGGCATGCACTCATTCTCCGGTTCCAATCAAACAAGACTGGAGAAGCAAAGCCGCGCATGCAGGCGATGAATACAGCGAGGCCGCACGGAGATGCGTCGCGTACAGCCATAGACATGTACGGCCACTCCATACACGCAGGCCGGTATACAACACCACACGAAAGACGACGACGGAATAAGAACAAGCACACAGACGCTCACGCGATTTGAAGACATGTACACGCGCCACATACGCGCGCACAACGGAACTGGGACTGGCCAGCATCAGGCAGCCAGGCCGGCACACTCGAGCTTCAAGCTTCAAAACCAATTGAAGTGGTCTTGCCGCGCAGTGATGAAGGCGTCGCGGTCCAAAACGTGCGCATCCAGACGCGGCACACGCCCCGCGACACACACATGTCGGCGCCTCGGTGTCCGCACAGCGTCCCACGACGCGATCGGTGGCCGCCCCATGGATGCGGGAGCACAAGTGCGCTCTGGAGGCAAGGCAGTATGGCACGCAGCGCATACAGGCACTACGTCCCCACCACGACAGCTCTCGAAGAGGAGAGCAGGAGATGCAACGGTGCGATGACCTATGAGCTCACGATCAGCCGTGCGGAGCACCCCCATCGCACGCCTGTGGCACCCGCACCCCGCCATCCACGCACGCGCACCCGCCATACACGCCCGTAACACCCGCACTCCGCTCACTGCGGGGTAGACGGGCATACGATCCGGTCGACCATTGTGCGCCCTCCAAGCCTCGCCCACCCCGCATGCGGGGGATGCCCAGCGAGAACGTGCGGAATGCGAGCCTCAGGCGCGACCGGGGTGGAGTACGGCCAACTCCAACTCCATACAAAAGCGCCGGATACAGGACCGCACGAGATTAGACGGGATATAGGTGAAAAAGAAGAAAAGAAAAACGCGAGAGATAGAGAAAACGGGAAGAGAACGGCGCATGCGGTTTACAGACGTGCATGAAGCGCTAGCGCCGCGCCCCGACGAGTATGTATACGCGCCTGGTCACACGCCTGTCCTCCGACCCACGCGCCAGTGAAGCTAGCTAGCCACACCGCGTTCCCCCTCAACGCGCCGTTAGGTGAACGGCTCTCCGCACCGACGCACCGACACACCGATGCCTCGCGTGGTAGCGGTATTAGCGGTGGTCGTATACACTCGTCCGCGTCCCCAATAGCATCGGGGTGCAACAATCCCATTGCCAATAAGCAAGACGCGACGCAATCGGTAGACGCCGCATAAATGCGGGAGCGCAATGTGTGCATGCCAGTCGCCCAGCCATGGCGGCAGGGTGTATGGCACCCAGCGCATATAGACGCGAGTGCACGAATGGCAACCCAACGGGTCGTCCAATCGCGAGGCGATGGGAGGGCATTTACAGAGACACCACATGCGGCGTTAAGCTCTCTGCACCCCGGGCTTCCGCACCCGATATTCCCCGACACATCCGTCTGCCTTGTTTGGGGCGCTCGTGGAAAACTTACATGAACGGCGCCTGGCCAGCGGGTGTACAGCGAGACGTAGCGCGCACCCGGGGAAAGGGTGGCATCGGCGGGCAGCGCCGCACTTCAATTCAAGACGAATTGAAGCGAAGGCCGACCACGAGATCCATGGACGTCGCGAGGCCAAATATAATGGGAATCGGACGCGCGAGACGGACAGGTACGAGCGTGCGAATGGCAACCAAACCCGAGACCCTGGGGAGGAAATATACAGAGACGCACGTACCCTCAATAAATTTGGCCACACTCTTGCGTATAAACGGCACGCCCTGGCTGTGGGAGTACGCGCCGACGGAGCCGATCTCCGCAGCTGAGTTCCTTTGCGCGGGCGACGACGTCAGCGGGGAAAACGCCGGGTGCGAGGTCGGCGAGAGCGGGCCACTCCATCAGGGCTGCTACCTGCATTCGTAATTATAAGTATTGAATCGAGAAAATAAAAGCAGGCACCTGGCGCGTGAAAGTAATCGGGGGCTGGTCGAGCCCCTTCTGCTGTGGGTTCCCAATATTGCTCGAGATGACTTTATCAAAAGGCAGACCATGCCCGGGCGTCTTGAGCTGCTCGCGCAGGACATCGGCCTTGATAGCGAGCTCGCCGCGCACAGCGTATTGCACCGTCAAAAGCTGGGGGTTGACCGAATCGAGTGTAAGGGGACGCATAGTTCTGTTGAGGAATCGCGATGGTGGTCGTAGCAGAAAAGAAGAACGGAGCATCGATTAAGTGCGTCTGTTTGGGATGAGAACGTGACCGTTGCCTGATGGTCTCGAACCACGACGACTACCTTTTTATACGGATTGCGGGATATGCGCGACTCGCAGCCTCACAGTCGCGTTCAGCTCAAAAGCCTTAAAATTTCGCCGAGTCAGACGGCTAGCATTGTTCGGACGAATCGGGTTCGGCCGATATCGCCTATATATGTAAAGCCCGGTAATTTGGACGTCGCTTTCAGGCGGATGACCTTTCGAGTCAACTTTTCTTCTCAGAGCCAAGCCCGCTCATCACCGTATCCTGACTGACTAGAACTCGCACGCACGGTCTCCGCACACCATTGATATTCCAACGACTCCCACCGCTCAGCGCTCATCCTTGATGAATCTATTCAATCTCTACGCGCAATCTAGCCTATAGCTGTGTTGTTGCTTGCTGGTCGTCACCGCTGGCAACAATACAAACGAGCAACGTTTGTGCATCTCCATAAATGCTCTCGGTGCTACAACACTTTCGGGCAATCTCGGAACACTCAATGATCGACGGCCATTATTTACCTCCGCGGACGCTTTCTCCTTGGAGGACTCTACTTCAAGACCGTGCAGGCCGTCTTCAAGCTTGTTATTATAACAACGATCTCACAAATTGTAATTCGGCGCCCGGCGCGTTCCGTCCTTCGTAATTAACCCATTTTCTCGTTGAAACATATTCACTCGGCGCGTCTCAAAAGCCTGTGTTCCCGAGCTTGAGTTGAAGGGATTGAGTTCAAAACCCATGGGGTTCGATCGCAAATTCACGAACTCCAAATTCGTAAAAAAAAAAAAGAACACGAAGAAAATAACCATTCGGGCACGGGGAATCGAACCCCATCCTGCAGCGTAAAGAAATCAAAGTTGATTCGAACCCACTAGTAAATGCTGCCGTGCACCATACACCACACCCAAGTTCTTCTCCTTGAACCTACTCTGAATATATCAGGTAAATTGAAGCCACACAATATACGTACAGTATGCATCCCAACTCCGTAGCTTCAGACTGATCACGAATACTCAGGTGTTCAATCGCAGAACGCAGAACCTCAACGAACGGCTCCATCGTAAATTACGAAGGGATCAAAAACCAAGATTTAAAAAAAAAAACAAAAAAAAGAAACTATTCGGGCGCGGGGAGTCGAACCCCGACCTGCAGCGTATAAGGGTTGGACTGCTCATTAACAGTAAGTTGCTGTGCACCATACACCACACCCGATTTTTTCCTTTGCATTTGCATCAGTATAACTGCGTATCAGTAGTTCGGCCTCCGGTCCTTTACATTTGTCGTGAGTCCACATTACCTGTGACTCGCGTATAGTTCCAGTCCAGTCCAGCCAAATATCCGACTCTACCCTCGAGCGAATTGTGATAAAATGGTGAAAAAAATCAAACCTTGGCATACTTCAAACTCCGAAAGAGAAGAGAGAAGAAAAAAAAGAAAAAGGGTGCGAAAAAGAATTCGAGCGCGGGAATCGAACCCCGTCCTGCAGACAAAGATCATACCGAACCAAGAAATGCTGCCGTGCACCATACACCACGCCCGATTCCTCTCCCCACATCTGCACCAGCATAACTAGGGGGATTTATCACTCTGGTCCTTCCATTAGCTCATAATCAACGACACTTGCGTTCGAATGCTCCCCGCTGGTCCAGCTAAATATTCATCCTCGGGCTGAGATTCTAGAGACTCAGACTAAAATGCCTTGGCATAAATCGACGGTCACGGAGAAAAAGAAGAAGAAAAAAGCAGATACTCGCACGATTATTCGGGTATGGGAATCGAACCCCGTCCTGCAGCGTAAAGCCGTTGTGGTGATGTCATAAAGAAACGCTGCCGTGCACCGTACACCACACCCGAGTCTCCCCAAAACCTACGCTGGATATATCAGATAAGTTGGACCCCGTTCAGCGCCTTCACTATTTTTTTATGAGGATGTAACCCGATTTGCCGCTGCTTAATGGTGGGAGTTGGGTGGGAGAGCTTCGGACTGGATATTCACTGACGTTCGATTGAAGAACCCCAACCAACGGTTCCATTTTGTATTTACGAACGCCAAAAGCCGAGAAAAAGCCAAAAATAGGAGAAAATAGGAGCAAAAAACTGGACAGATAACGGATTATTCGGGTGCGGAGAGTCGAACCCCGTCTTCCAACGTAAATCGCTGTGCGGGCTGTTACGAAACGCTGGCGTGCACCATACACCACATCCGAGTTCCCTACCTCTCAATATATCAGATACATAAATTGAACCCGCCACGATTTATGTGTGAGCATGATGTGAGCGTACATCCGGACTTAAAATTACTTGATGGTGGGGGAGCTTCGCACTCATATTCACCATTGACAGTGCTCAATCGTAGAATCCCAAGTTCCAACCAACGTTTCGGCTCGATCAGGACAGTACGAACAGACCAAAAACAATAAAGAAAAGGAGGAAAAATACTCGGGAACGGGGAATCGAGCACCACCACCATCCATAGTTTTCATTCTGAAAGCTACTCTGGACGTGTCAGATAAATTGAACCCCCAATTTACATGTGACATGATGTGAACATCCGGACTTGCCGCTGCGTGATGTGGGAGAGCTTCGCACTGAAAGTACTCGCCCGCGTTCAGTCGTAGAATCCCAGCTCAACCAACGGCTCGATCGTAAATTTACGAACACCGGGGGCCGAAAACCCGAAAGAAAAAAAACGAGATCGCCGAGAGAATCATTCGGATGCGGGGAATCGAACCCCATCCTACAGCGTAAATCGTTATTGTCGCTTGGCAAAGCAAGGAGCGCTGCCCTGCACCATACACCACACCCGATTCCTTTTCTCATATCAGTACCAGCATGACTGGGGAATTTTATGACTCTGGTCCTTACATTTGGTCCTTACATTTGCTGTTTGCAGTCGTTGAATTCACGGCACATTACCTGCATTATCTACAGTCCAGCCTAACCTCAGGCCGAGAGACTAGCTAGAAAAGCCTTGGGATAGATTACAAACGGCCCAAAAACCAAAAAGAAAAGAAGGGAAAAAAAACATAAGATTGACTATTCGGGTGCAGGGAGTCGAACCCCGTCCTGCAACGCAGGTCATATTCAACGGTTATTAGTAACTGCTGCTGTGCACCATACACCACACCCAATTCCTCTATCTAGAACCTACGCTGAATATATCAGATAAAATTGAACCCGCGCCCAACCCACCACAATTTATGTTGTATGCATGCATCCCGGCTTACTTGATGGTGGCAATCTGCACCAAATACTCACCGGCATTCAATAGTAGAACCCCAACCCAACCAACGGCTCCATCGTAAAAGTACGAACGGCCCAAAAACCAAAAGGAAAACAGGAGTAAAAGCCAGAATGGCGAGAATCATTCAGGCACGGGGAGTCGAACCCCGTCCTGCAGCTAACAATCTTGGTATCCCATTGAGAGAGCGCTGCCGTGCACTATACACCACACGCGAATTCCCACCTAAAACCTACTCTGGATACATCGAATGAATTTTTCGTCAAAGATCCCGGAAACGGCTTTACAAATTATAACCTATCGTTAACAAGTTGATCTGGATTTCGGCGGCGGATTTTATGGTCGAGTTTCAGTCTAAGCAAAGGCCTCAACGGTTCAATCGTAAAAACAAAAACTGGAGGAAGATCTTCCATTCGGATGCAGGGAGTCGAACCCCGACCTGCAACATACCGAGTTGGAACTATTACTAAATGCTGTTGTGCACCATACACCACACCCGAGTTATCTGTCTAAAACCTACACTAGGTATGTCAGAAAAAATTGAACCCGTCAGCGGCTCCACAATTTTTGGAGCATGTAACCGACTTGCCGCTTAAATAATGGTAGGAGAGCTTCGGACTGCACCATCACCCGCGCTCAATCGTAGAAGTCCAACCACCGGTTCCATAATTACGAAGCCAAAAGCCGAGAAAAACCCGAAAATAGGAGAAAAAAACTGAACAGAATCCGATTATTCGGTCCTTCTTTCTGTTGTAAAAGCTTTTTTCGCAAATATTATGTGTTTGCAGATCGCGGACGTGCAACGTGGTTAGTGCGTTCCGTGGTCTGTGGTCTGTGGTTACCCAAGGTTTGCCGGGACGCCGAATAAACGGATCATCAGCCGGGTTCCCACGATTGAAGACATAGGGTGCGAGAATCAATGATACGGCAATTTGTTGAGTATGTCTTGCATAAGACGAGTTACCCCTGCTTTTGGTTTCTTATTTTTGTAGGCTCACACCAATTTTGAACAAGAAATCAAAGAACTAGTAAACTCTTGCTGCGTCGAGTGTTGTAGAACATGGGTGATATGTAGAATGTGAGTAACTTTGCAAACACGATAACAGATACTAGTCTCCCACCTGTACACTTTATTGGTCGAAATTCAATCAGCAAGGCGCACACAAAGTCTGTTGAAGTGAAACCGGGACTCGGCCCGCTATGGCAATCAACATCAAGTGATCGGCCTCGGCAAGTTCGAGTTCTGCACCAAACTCTGGACTTGGACGGAGCTAGGTGTTCAATGGTGCCACTTGAACTTTCAAAAACCACTGAAATCATCAAAAACCATTGACCAAGGAGCAGAAAACCACCAAAAACCAGGTTCTCAAACCACGAGTTGCGACAAAACTACGGTTCACGCATCACGAACATAGCGTGTTGGTTCACGTTCCGGAACCACATAATATTTAGCGATGAAAAAGGTCATATTCTGTTCAATGAACAGAAACCGACTCTACTAGAGCCGAGGCTGTGCCAACTCATTTGCTGATATCATGATGCACCAATTGCAACAGCACAGCCAGTGTACAGCTTTGTCTCTCTCTCTACCATGTCGGACGAAAGCCTCTCCCATTCTGTGTCCTTCCATCAGCAATTCTCCGCTCTTCGCGACCGTCTTATGCAGATTCGCGGTTTTCCCCACTACTTCTCCCTCGCCAATCCTGAAAATCCAGCAGTAGATGGCCAGATCGACCGTATCACTCCACTCTGCTACATCTTCGATCTACTTCCCGAGGAGGATGGCTTCAGAAAAATCAACCACTCCGAGTTCAACCAGGAGCAGTACACCGCCAATCCTGATCGCGCAAAAAGGCATGCCATCGTTCTCTTTGCTATGCAGATTCGTACAGAGGAGTTCAAAAAGAAAATCCCCGCGTCCGGGATGTTTACTGTGACAGATCTTTGGGATCGTAACTCAACTGACGGGTTTCTCAAAGTATGTACGTTTCCCATTCCTGCTGTCCGCGTGCTCAGCGTTACAGGTCGTCAACACCGTTACGGCAATCGTCAATTATCTTCCGCCGGATGCGTTTGAAGGATTTGTGCCCGCTTTGCCCATGTCGAAAACCTGCTTGCCCTCCGCGATAGCCCTCCCGATGATCCCAAACCTGCCCTTCCTACCAGAACACAAGAAAATATCATCCGCGAGCTGGTTGAGACTGAACGCAAATACGGAAAGGATATCGAGCTCATGCATGTTTGTTTTCTGCTTGATCTCGCATAGGATGACCATTCACTGACTCTGCCGTAGAAATATGCTACTGTTTTGTCGCAGAGCAACTGGATCGACGATAATATCAGGCTTTCTCTCTTCCCCAATATGAACGAGCTTTTCAACTTCCAGCGCAAATTCTTAATTCGCCTTGAGGCTACTGCGGAACTTGCGTGGCAAGACCAGAATTGGGGACAGCATTTCCTTGAGGCTGTGAGCGCGCATCGTTATCTTTAGTGCTATCTGATCTGTTCTGCGTTGTCCTATCGCAATCATAGGAAAAGGAATTTAGTGAAGTTTATGCGCCGTACTGCGCAAACTACGTCAGTTCCTCTGAGTCGTGCTCATAGATGAGGTGCAACAGAAGCTCGCCGTGCGTTTTCCGTGGCTGGAAACAACCATATGGCTGATAAGGCACCTTCCGACAGCCGCTTAACCACTTGATAAACGTCAAGGCGGAACTGCCCGCCTTCATAAAAAAGCCCGTTGGACGTGTCTGAAAATACCCACTTCTCCTTGACGTGAGTATCTCTGCTCTGTTCCATTCAGTGCTGATTATGTTCTACTTTCAGTCGTTACTCAAGGCTTCGTCGGCTGCCGACTATCAACATTATAACGCTTTGAAACAAGGTTCAGAGGCTTCCAAGCGTGTCGGAGACCGGGTTAACGAGGCATTACGCCGCGCCGAGAACGAGCAGACCGTGAATTCTCTGCAGG